GGACTTTTTGGTAGGCTGATGATGTAGAACGGGTTTACTTTCCACCCCGCTTGTCGCAGCCATGCCAGTTCCGCGTCATTCAGGAGAGTCCCCTCGAAAATTACCACCTCGTTCCCCTTTTCCGGCGTCGTCTTGTCCACGAGACTTTTGTTGCTTCCTTGGCGACTGTCGCACGGGCCGTCAATGCACATCTTCGCGTAAGACATGTATTTCATGCCCGTGTTCTCGTACTCTCCCTGCCTGTTTTGTAGGCCGAAGTGGCGAAACGCTTGCCTGTGCAAAAAAAAGCTTATACGTTCAGGCATCGCATCCTCCATGTGATGCTTTCGAAAGTCATGTAGCCGAGGATTCGACAAAGATAAAAGGAAGTACACCAAATTGCAAATAATGATCAAAGCGAGATACATGTTTTTGCCTCCAAATTTGTTGCCGCGATATGATCAACCGGTCGAGTACCTTGTTCGCATCTGGACTTTCAAATACTAAGCACTATAGCTTCGAGGCCACGCACTCACCGCATCAACACCAACACCCCCGAAGCTCCGTGATACCTCTTGGCTTCAAAGCTCGTCGTTTCGCATCTTCCGCCGCCAATTCTTACCCCGACGCACCCTGAGCCATCTCCTTTCTTCAGTCGACAAACCCCCCATTCTCCTTCCTCGTATTTCTCGTCCCCTGGCAGTGCCACGCTCTCTGACCCCGTCTTCGTACCCCCTCCTTTCGCACCCCCCCTTTCCGAGCCCTCAGCTCCGAATTCATCCGACCAGGACGCCTTTCTCGCCATATTTTTTTCTCGCAGCCGCTTTACTGCTCTTCTCCGGATTAGCTCTTCTTCGGCGTCATCATCCACCTCTATCGCATCCGTACTTCTTTCTCCACCCTCTCCCATCACCTCGTCCTCGTCCTCTCTTTCATACTGTCTAGGCCCAGCTGCCTCCGCTTCTCGCGGCTCATCTTCCCTTCTAGGAGCACTAGGGCCAGCTGCTTCTGCAGCCTGACCCCCAGTCTGCTGCGTATTTGCATTACTTGGGCCCGGTGTCTCGGCTGGTTGCGGTCTTGCTCCCCCCGCCCCCCTAGCTGCTCCAGCGGCAGCCATCCTCTGCAATTCAATTACACGCTCTCTCTCTTCCAGCGGTAGATCTTCCAGCTTCTTTTTCCCCTCCGAAATTTCAATTGCTAGCTCCTCGTAATATCTGCTGCCCTTGACCCCTCCGTCCTCTCCACCCTCCTCTGCTCCGGATTGCTTCCCTTTTCCCTTCTCCCTCGTTCTGTCATCCACTTCCTTTAAGACCCGATCATGTCTGTGCGTGCTTTCCACCCCCGCGGAACCTGGACTTGATGCCGCCCACGCCGTTTTTGACACCACGTTCCTCACCCCACCCCCAACCGTCCCGGTCGCTAGACCGGCCCCTCTTGCCGCATCTCCTAAGGCTGCTCCTGACATTCGCCGAGCGTTATCCCGTTGCGTTTCCACGCTTTTTCTCCTCTCTTCCCCCCTCGCTCGCAAATCTTCTAACGTCGGGCCCTGCTCCGTGTAGCCCGTCTCCTCGAATTCCACTGTTCGCGCGATTTGCAACACGCCACCCGTTCCCTCGTTCAGAATCACCTCCCCCCTTGGTAGATACGGCCCTTTCCCTCCCACCAAGAACCAGAAGATGGCGTTTACGATCTCGGCCAAATTAGCGGACGGATTCACTGCCACCCACTCCTCCTCCAGAAATTTCACGTTCTCAGGCATCGACCACGCCTTCAGCTCCTTGGACCTGAAAGTTGGGTTTGGAAAAGAATACCAAAGTCAGCGCCCATCACGACAAACATACCACCAGCATCGTACTCAACATGGAACACCCGTTGCATCCTGCAGCTCGGAGTAATAATATCCGGTGTTGGACAGACTCTTTTGAAAACCTCATCGTACCTAAATGTACTAAAACGAACTTTATACTTGGGTATCTTGGCTTATTCATAACATTCGGATTCTCCAAGTCAGATCATACAACATATTATCTACCTTTCAAGAGCAAAGAAACATCTCCGTTAACAAACATTCCTTACAGACGGAAGAGCCTGATGAGTGCTGGACCAACATACACAGATCGTTGAGTAGTATACTCAGGGAATAAGCCGCTGTCTAAATCGTACTTACTTGAACCTCCAGAATGCCGCCCAGTTGCACATTTTCCTTTTCGCCGTTTTGTTGCTCTGTAACTTTGCTTCGTGCCAGTCCAGCAGAGCGTGGAACCTCGACTTCCACTGCTCGTCCATCTCGGACACCAACCACATCCTCACCAAGGACCTGTGGTGACCTCGCAAGTCCTCCGGCAGGTTTTGCTCCGCATTCCTCAGGTCATTTTTAAAGTGCATCTTGCATTGGACGAGCGCCCCCCGACCTTCCCCGCTAGAGACAACCGCTCTGTACGCTGCCGCAGGCCCCTCCGCAGCGTCAGAGCACAACCTCCAGAAATCCAGCGCGAATGGCGCGATTGCCTTCCAGAAACCCTCCCCATCTTCCCCTCCCGCAGGCGAGCCGGTAAGGCAGATCTTTTTCAGCTCCTTCATGAACGCAACCATGTTCTTCTTGCTCTCCGACTCTATCAGCGCCGACGCGATCGTTAGCATCCTCCTCTGGACGTGGGAGTACGTGCTTAACCGCGTCAACACCTCGTCTTCCGCGGTGACCTTTTGGGCGTCCAGATAAGCTGTTCTAAAGTACAAGTCGCTCCCCGGAACGCTCATCTCTCTAGCGACGTGCAGGCCTGACCCCCGGCCTTGTACTGTCATCATGAACACCATTGGGACCTCCGACGTCGGCTGCAACCGCTGTTCCGCGAGGAAAAGCTTGTGTACGAAGGGAAACCCCAACTTCTTTGCAATATCTAGACCCGCGTACTTGCTCCTCGTGTTTGCCCCGGCTAGCACCCTGCCCTTCGCCATAGTCCTCCTTATTTTGTCCATCCGAGCGAGCGGCTGCACGCTTTTTACTAGACTGTATAAAAAAACAAACATGCCTGGTTAATGTACGAGTTGTGCTTTTGGTGGATCAAAAGAGTTGTGCTTTTGGTGGATCAAAACAAACGTCCAACAATCGGACCCGTACATAAATAAATTTTACGATGATACCCAAGTCTACAATAAAAGCATGCAATCATTTTGGGTATCTCAGTATCTTCATTCAAACATCACAAACAAGGTGTAGTCAATGACACCGGTTTTTCAGATTTCTTGTGACGGGTCAAAGTCCAAGAGACAGTTTTCAACAAATGGTTGTTGTGCAGCCAAAACGGGAACGA